TTCCAGTTCCTGAACACTATTGGCCCACCCTGGGGCTGTCATTCCACTCTTGGCCCTGTCATTCCAGTTCCTGAACACTATTGGCCCACCCTGGGGCTGTCATTCCACTCTTGGCCCTGTCATTCCAGTTCCTGAACACTATTGGCCCACCCTGGGGCTGTCATTCCACTCTTGGCCCTGTCATTCCAGTTCCTGAACACTATTGGCCCACCCTGGGGCTGTCATTCCACTCTTGGCCCTGTCATTCCAGTTCCTGAACACTATTGGCCCACCCTGGGGCTGTCATTCCACTCTTGGCCCTGTCATTCCAGTTCCTGAACACTATTGGCCCACCCTGGGGCTGTCATTCCACTCTTGGCCCTGTCATTCCAGTTCCTGAACACTATTGGCCCACCCTGGGGCTGTCATTCCACTCTTGGCCCTGTCATTCCAGTTCCTGAACACTATTGGCCCACCCTGGGGCTGTCATTCCACTCTTGGCCCTGTCATCCTAGTCCCTGAACACTCCTGCTCCACCCTGGGACTGTCATTCCACTCTTGGCCCTGTCATCCCAGTTCCTGAACACTTCTGTTACTCCCAGGGGCTGTCATTGCACTCCGTGGGCTCTCATTCCATCCCCATAGTAGTGTATTTGGGCCCAGAGACCCTAATGGAAAATCCATTCCATTCTGAATCATGGTTACTCCTGCCAAGTATTCGTGGACACACCAGAAGGCTTACATCTACTGCATCCGGTGTAGGATGGGGCCCCCCCCCCATAATAGCTTATGGGATCATGTAGTGTTAACAGAATCCTGACACCTTAGCATGCTGGAGCTTCAGGAAAGAGTCTTCCCCCCCCCCCAATCGGATATTGGGCTGTCAGTTCTCTCTGTGGGTGGGAATTTCAAGGCGCCCAGTCGACCCTTTCGCTTCTCCAAACCCATCGTGTCACAGGAGGACGACAACGGGGGCAACTGCGGATGTCTGTCTTCTTTTTCACATAAGACTGTGGCCAGGATGGGTTGTCAGTGCCTTGAGGAAACAACTGATCTCCGGTTTTCCCTCCCGCCTCTGGGTGCCGCTTGGATTTGTGCCATCACGAGTGAAAGCGAAAGTGGATGGTTGTAAAATGACCGGGAAAAGGACGAGGGCGGAACGCCTGAAACTGTACAATACTCTCGGGGTCGGGGTGGGGGTGGGAGCTGTAACTAAACCTCGGTCAACACTCAGCCTTCACAAAATGCTTGTCACTGGTGCAATGAATGCCATCTCTTGAGATTTTGAGGAGGAAACTCTGCATCCCCAGCAACTATAGCGGCTACCATTTCAGAAACTAATCAGTTTCTTATCTCCATCTGGAAATAATATACCTGGAGGGTCGGGATGCCTTGCGCTCTCTCTCTCTCACACACACGAGCACAAGGTCAGTTCAGTGCAGGAAGAGGGGAGGAGGGAGCGAAACTGCTTGGGAAGGCGTGCAACTCTCTGATCTTCTGGTGAAAGATCCTTCCTATGCAAACAAGCTCCATGGGATGGCGTTGGTCATGACTAAGAGTCGGGTACTTTTATGGATCAAAAACTGGCTAATAATGAAATATATTTATTATGAAACTTTAAAATGTTCTTTTTTGCTGTCCGTTTTGTTTGATGCATATCTGTTATATATAAATTTCATCCGTTCATAAGCTCAGAGTGATTCACAAGAGAATGTTCTAAACACATCTCCGATTACAAAGCTTTGAAGTATAATCAGCCAATATCCCCAATTACAAAACTTCAAAGCACAGTCCAGCAATTCCTCAATATATAAGATACTGGTGCACTTAATTAAGGTCAACAGCCTGCATGGTTGAGATGAACGAGAGAGCAGCTGCCCCATTTCAAAGTTTTGTCCATTTTTCCCCTCAGACTGATCCAACATGTCTCCTTACTGGCACCGGGTCCCAGGCAAGCAAATCCTGTGGAACTGTGCCAACTTTTCAGTCATTTACAGCAGGGCAGTCAAATGTTTTGGCCCTGAGTGCTGAAGAAACAAACCAGGAACATAAGAAGCATACTGCTGGCTAAGACCAGTGGTCTGTCTGGTCCAGCATTCTATTTCATGTAGTGTCCAAGTTACCCACGAGGGCTGAGAAAGAGGGCAAGGAAGCCAAGGCCTCCCCCTCATTCTGCCTCCTAGCACTGGTATTTGGAGGTTCCTTTTAGCCACCATAGCTAGTAGCCATTGAGAGAGAGAGAGAGAGAGAGAAGAGGAGGAGGAGGAGGAGGAGAAGAAGAGAGACTGGATTTCTACCCCCCCCGTCACTACCTGAAGGAGTCTCAGAGTGGTTTATAATCCCTTTCTCTCCTCCTCCTCACAACAGACACCCTGTGAGGTCGGTGGGGCTGAGAGAGCTCTGTGAGAACTGCCCTTGAGAGAACAGCTCTGAGAGAATTTGTGACTGACCCAAGGTCACAGCAGCAGCTGCATATGGAGGAGTAGGGAACCAAACCCAGTTCTCCCAGATTAGAGTCCGTGCTCTTAACCACTACACCAGACTAGGTCTCCATGAATCTAATCCCCTCTTAAAGCCATCTGTGCTGGTGGTCATCACTGTGTCCGCTTGCAGTGAATTGCAGTTCACTCGTTGAGTGAAGGAGCATGTCCTTTTGTCTGTCCTGAATCTACTGCCTGTCAACTTCGCTGGGTGCCCCCAAATTCTACTACAGGCATCCCCGACCTTTAAGCCTGCGGGCACCTTTGGAATTCTGCCACAGTGTGGTGGGTACAGACACAAAATGGCCACCACAAAATGGCTGCCACAGAAGGCAGAACTAGCCATAAAATGGCTCTTGCAGATTACCTTCAGTCACACAGTGAAGATTCTTGTGCTGTTGCTGCCAAAACTAGGGCTGCCAAGTGGGGGCGGGTGGCGGGTAAACCCCTGCTTCAGAGGCCCGATTCCCGCTGCCGCAGAATCAGGCCCTGGGGGGAACGCCGCCCCCCGAAGCGCAGCGTGGCTGTGTCACCAGAGGTGACGCAGCCACGTCAATCACGTTGGGGGCGTGGCCCCAATCGTCGGAGGGAAAATGCTATGGTTTTCCCTCCGACGATCGGGGCCACGCCTTCAATGTGATCGACGTCGCGTGTCACTTCTGGTGATGTGCTGGTGGCACGCGCGTGTGCACATTGACGGACAGCTCCCGGAGCCCGGCGAGGCTCCCCCGCTGGTAAGAAAAATTGACTTGGCAACCCTAGCCAAAACATTTTGGGAAATTTAGTCATCCACTGAAATCTACAGTGGTCAGTCAAAAGTCTAGGTGGCCACTTTCTACAAACATGTGGCAGGTGCCAGGAAAAGTGTTGGCGGGCACCATGGCGCCCGCAAGCACCATGTTGGAGACCCCTGTTGTAGTATCCTGGGAGAAGAAGGGGGGAAGTACTCTCTGTTCACTTTCCATTTATTTATTTATTATTTATTGTTTTGACTTTTACCCCGCCCCCCCGCCGAATCTACAGCCTTAGAACTTGCAGTAAAATCTCTGCTAACAGAAGGCATTTCTGGCAACAGAGTGCGAGTTTCTCCCCTTTTCCGTCTCTTGGGGGCCAGGAGGGACCCAGGAGCAGTGTAAGGGATGAGGGA